ATGGTTTTTCTGCATTTGGGAAACCTATTTAGAATCTGGGATCACCAAAAGCTAAAATATCAGCAATGCACTTTGATCTGTCTACTAAAATAAATAAAGGGTTATATTTTTATGTTTTACATCTATGGTTCTCTAGTTTTTACATATGCTAGTAGGGTTTTTCAAACACCTTCACGATTTACTATAAAAAGGTGAAGGTATTGTAGTTGAACGAGTATAACATTCACGGAAACCTCCTATGTTAATAGGAGGAAGGTTATTTACATGGGAGAAACATAATGACCACTTAACCATGATAATGATATATTATTATCACATTATTCAGGTTATATTTTATAGAGACAAGAGACAAGAATGAGGATGGAGAAAGGTAGTTGAGATTTTTGTGAATCAAATTTGCCATACCACTATCAAGTTCCTAGTTGATCAAAAAAAAAATATCAAGTTCCTAAAGTCAGGCTGTAAAAACTATAAAGAAAGTTAAATAGTCAGCAGATCCTGAAAACCCCAACCCAAAGCATGCTCCAGATGTCTAATTAAAACTTAAATGAAGACAAAGGAAATAAAGAATTTGACAAGGAATGGTCCGTACAATTAGGTTTCAATTCTGGAACTAGTAAATATATCTCTTTTCACATCATAAAACCAAAACTATTTCTGAACTTACCTGCAGTTGTTGCTGACTAAACAAATGAAGAAACCCAGTCTCAGGGCTGGAGACCAGTTCAATCAGCTCATCATGGTTTTCGGGTGGATCACCAGACTCCATGAGGGAAACAGAGACCTGCAGGTGAGTTGATATCCCATAAACACTATAAGCATCGTTGTATAAATCAGACTTTCAGCACCTTCTGATCTAATTCAACTATTTTTTTAAGTGTCATTCTAATTGAGGATGAATGAAGAACTGATAAAACTGTTTCAATATGCTTTTGAACCAAGCACAAAGACAAGGAATGCTTAACTTAATGGACAAAATCAAGAGAGATTTACAATAGGATTCCATAGTTGCTTTGGTCTCAAACCAGTTTAACTACATACTCTACTAACCTGGTTTTTTGGTCTCCCAGGCACCTTTTAATATTGGTTTTAACTTTGTTCATAATTGTAAACTTATGAAACAAGTCACTGTTACCAATCTCAAATAGCATAGCTATTATAGTTTTATGATAGTTAAATTTACTTCTCATGGTCAGAATATTTTGCTTAAGCTCAAGAGCTATTGCCTACACTTCTTCATTCAACAAGGCATTTTTTTAATCCCCACTTCTTTTCTTCGTCAAAGCACCTAGATAAATAGGAGTAACATTCCTTCTACCCAAAAAGCATACCTGCATAGAACGAAGAATGACTTCTGGAATACAACACCTACGACAAAGGCCCTGAACAATGTATGTCGCTGGGCCTTCCAAAGAACCATCTTTGCTTGAATACCAAGCATCTAATCGAGAAATCTCCATTGTAACCCCAGCTTGGAATCGAACAAGCTCACCTGCATTAA